AGCTGGAGGCTTTTCTTTATTCAGGCAGTTGCTGGCTGCTGAGGCTTGCAAACCCAAGGTTGACAAGTGAAATGGCACAGTCCCAATATTACCAACAACATGCAGAGCACTAGTTCAAGTCCAGAGATAGTCCCAAGATTGGCAGGAAACATGGCAGGCTGCTAAATGAAGACTCAGGTACATGCATGGTTCAAGCATGCCAAAAAGCTGCAGACCTTTTCCAAAGCTTCTCCTTATATACTGGAAGCAGATCACATCCCTAAAGCAGCAGCTACTCAGCTGCTTGTAGCAGATTCCACCATGGAGTTGAATCCCAGTCTCATCATAGGGAATAACTATGTCCAGCTGCCTAGCCACTCAGAACCAGGCCCTGCCAAGTGGGCATATAACCTTAACTACCACACTGTGAAACGTAGACCACAAGCTATGTGTTTCCAGAGAACAGTGGTGGAATAGTCACAAGGTAGACATTTCCATTACAAATGTGAGAAATTAAAGGGAAAGAAGGGATAACAGACATCAAGCAAGTCCAAAATCCAGCATTAACAATTTACATTAGCTCTCAAGCAAGGCTTCCAACCAGTTCTTCCCAGTTCAGTCATGGCCGACAAAGAAAACCTGAAAGGACCTGAGTTTGTAAAATGTGGGTGTACTGGAACAGGAAAAATTGTGGTCAGTGCCCTGCTAGATAGTTCATCGTACTCCTAGAAAACAAAGGCAACGTACATGTTGCAAAGAAACCAAATTTCTTGAAAGGCACAATCAGAAACAGCAACAGGCTCAAAGATGGCATCCAACCACGTCACTTTGAACATGTTTCACGCTCCACAGTCCTGGCAGTAATCCAGTTTCTTGCCCAGGCTCCAGAAAGGACTCCAGTTCCCTTTTTCAAGTTTCCTAAATTACAGGGATTCAACCTGTAGTTCTCCCTGTTACACCTGTTTTACAGATTCAGGTCTGTACTGATGGTGCTACATCAGCCACGGCTGAACTGGTTCAAACCAGTTAAAAGTCATGCTCTCAAGGCGTGAAAACAATCCTCTGTTCTTTGGGACCATCTGGCCAATGGCCTTACCCTCGAGACTCTAGGTGTCGGCCATGCCATCTGGATTCTTGGTGGAGGCCCCTCAGCCCACCAGGCCCTCTGGGATAACCACTCAGCTTTGTAGGGTTTGGGAAACCTCATTCTCCTAGTCCATCTGAGGTGGTAGCAACCCCACCACCTCAACCTTGGCTGGCCCCATTCTTTTGCCCCTTGGGCATGGCAGCACTGCCCCCTCATCTCTGGGCAGCAGCCCCATGCCCCAGGAACACAGTTCTGACCAGGGGCACAATAGACAGTCCTGGATAAGAGGGAGGAAAATGTAGAACAAATCTCAAATTCCTTAAAAAGGCCAGACACTGGACCAATAGAGACTAGAGGAACCAAACCCACAGATTATTGCCCTAAGACCCCCTTCGAGCTTGGAACTGAAGCCACTCCCGGTGGTCAACTTTCATCCTAATAATAGATTGACTTAAAAATTAACAATAGCACCTGTGAATACTGTGCTCCCTTAAATAATCAAAGAAACGAGCCCAAACACTCAACATTAACCCTAAGACAAAAATGAGAGGGTAAGAAGAGGCAGGAAAGGTTAATGGAAATAGAATGGGCATAGTGAGAAGCTTGACACATTATGAAAAATGTAATCAAGGTCATGGAACAATTTGTATAAAAGTTGTTAAGTGGGGACTTAATTTGCTATGTAAACTTTCACCTAAAACACAATTAAATATTAAACAAAAGAAGAAGAAGATGTATAACTTCTTTGTTGTTTTGCTATACTTCTTATAATAAGGGACCTTTGTTTGTAACCTGTAGTATATCCTTTTTGTCATCATAGGAGACTTAGCCAGAGGCCTACAACTGAAGAACTAGAGCAAAGAAATATCCTAAAACGTGAGTATCCTGTACAATACATTGATTCCTCATTTACGTGTTAACAGTCTCCCTCTGGAAACTCTGTATCATGTTTTTGCTGTTATTAGGTGCCATGGAGTCAGCTCCGACTCATAGTTACCCTGTGTACAACAGAACAAAATACTGCCTGGTCCTGCACCAGCCTCACAACGCTTGCTGTCGCTGAGCCCATTACTGCAGCCACTGTGTCCATCCATCTCATTGAGAGTCTTCCCCTTTGTCATGACCCTCCACCTTACCAAGCTTGATATCCCTCTCCAGAGAATGGTCCCTTCTGACAACATGACCAAAGTAGGTGAGAC